CCAGACATTCTTCAACAAATGAATAAAGTGTAGTACATCCATACCATAGACTACTACTCAGCAATAAAAAGGAACAAATTATTGATACTTGCAACAACTTGGATGAATCTCCAGAGAATTATGCTGAAAGTCAATCCCAAAAGTTACTCCATGATTCCATTTGTGTAAGATTCTCAAAATTACCAAATTATACAAATGGAAAACAAATTAGTGCTACCAGGAGTTCAGGAGGGAATGGGGTAGGAGGGAAGTGGTGTGGTTTAGAAGGGCAACAAGAGATATATTTGTGGTAACTGGAAATGCCCTGTATCTTGACTGTTTCAATGCCAATATCCTAGCTGTGATACAATACTATCATTTTGAAAGATGTTACTCTTGGGAAAACTGGGTAGTATATGCAGGATCTCTATATTATTTCTTAAAACTGCAAGTGACTCTATAATTATGAAAAAATAAAAAGTTTAATTTTTAAAAAGCTTTATACATCACTCAAAAAAAAAATCTTGCTATCTACAGACTCCATCTCAGTTTATTAATGGCAACTTCATCTTACTAGTTACACTAACCAAAAACCTTGGAATCCTCATTTGCTTAACACCTCATATCTAATCTGCTACTCTACCCTCAAAATATATGCAGCATTTGTGAAGGCTTTTCACTGCTCCTGCCTGGTCCAAGCCACCATCATCTGACCTGGATTATTAAATAGCCTCCTAATTTATCTGCCTGTTTCCACCCTAACCTATCAACAGTCAACCCAGCAGCCAAAGTTATTCTGCAAAAATTTAAATCAGATGTCACTCCTTTACTTAAAACTCCCCAAGACTCCCGATTTCTCTCAAAAATCAATGTCCTTATAATTGCCCACAAGATGCTACATGATCTAGCCCCATTACCTCAATCTCATTATCTCTTACTAATCTCCCGAACTATTCTATCTCCTTTGCCTATTTAATAATGGCAAGCATTCAATAAATACTTATTGAATATGCTCTTGAGCCAATTCTCACCACAAATCCCACAGTACAGCCCTAGGAGCATCTGTGCACCTATCGCTGCTGAAAAGCCCTTCCCCTGGTTCTCAGCAAAACCCCATTCATTATTCTACAGATATCCCAATGTCACCCTATTTATTGTTTTACTCCAATACCTAGCACCAAAGGGACAACTGTGACCTTATGGACTTAACTGTTGAGTTTCTATAAACACGTTACTTTAAACTTCCAAATCTTCCATTTCTACTCCTTAATTGATATTGCCTCTCTAATTAAAGTTCAACGTTTTAAAAATAAGGTTTTCTAAATGTCATTATCCTCTTCTTCCAATTCCTTAAAAAAAAAAAACTGCCTTAAAACTTTATAGGCATTTCTTAAACATGAGAATAGAGGGCCCTAATACTTCATGCACACACTGGTTTGAGAAACACTGCCTTAAAAATTAAATGCATTACACATTAACTAGGTGATCATTTGAAACAAGTGGTAAATGGAGAGAAGCAGGCATTTCTGAAACAGTGTGACCAAGAATTGGTTATCTGGTGATCTAATATGCTTACGTTAATTTTTTTAAGTTTTATTAAAACAAAAACATAGGGCCAGGCATGGTAGCTCATGTGTGTAATACCAGCACTTTGGAAGGCCAAGGTGGGAGGGCTTGAGCCCAGGAGTTCAAGACCAACCTGAGCAACACAGTGAGACCTCCTTTCTACAAAAAACCCAAAAATATCTGCCAGTTATAGTGGTATGTACCTGTAGTCTCAGCTACTAGGGAGGCTGAGACAAGAAGGATTGCCTGAGTCCAGGAGGTCGAGGTGGTGGTAGGCTGTGATCATGCCACTGTACTCCAGCCTGGGCGACTCCCAACTCAAAAATTAAAAAAACTAAAAAATTCTGTCAGGCTTCCAATACATCTAAATAGTGAAATGTTTAAGAAAATGAATATGGAACAAATTTAAACAAAAATTAATGTGTTCTAACTTTATATACGCTCTTGAAATTTTAAACTCAATACTTTTTAGACTAATTTTCTTATCACAGACTTGATTACTTTGAAATGACTCCACCATAAGGCATGCTTACAAAAAATACTTACATTATCCCAAGTTTTATGAATGCGACACTGTACTGTAATAGAGCTGCACCCCTATAAAAGCATATATGTCCATTTGCTTTAAGTTATTTTCAGTAGGGAATAATATGAATTTATAATATTTAAAATATGGCCAGGTGTGGGGGCTCAACACCTGTAATCCCAGCATTTTGGAAGGCCAAGGTAGGAGGATTGTCTGAGCACAGGAGTTCAAGACAAGCCTAGGAAACAAAGGTAGACAAAAAAATCAAAATATTAGTTGGGCATGCCTGTAATCCCAGCTACTTGGGAAGCTGAGGTGGCAGGATCTCCTGAACCCAGGAGGTCGAGGCTATGGTGAGCTATGACCATGCCACTGCACTCCAGCCTGGGTGACAGAGTGAGACCCCAGCTCAAAAAAAAAAAAAAAGACTAAAATACATACTTAACTATATATGTATATATATTTACATATATTATATGGACTTATTAAGAAATATAAAGACTCTCTAAAATGCCCCCTTGGCATAGCTGAAACAGTATTTATGTGGCTCTACCAAACAAAAACAGAGACTAGCCAGAGGCAGTGGCTCACACCTGTAACCCCAGAACATCGGGAGGCCAAGGTGGATCCTTGAGGCCAGGAGTTCAAGACCAGCCTCAGCAACATAGCAAGATCTCACCTCTACAAAAAAATCAAGAAAATTAGCCAGATTTGGTGGCAGGTGCTTATAGTCCCAGCTATTCTGCAGGCTGAGACAGGATTGCCTGAACCCAGGAGGTCAAGGCTGCCATGAATTATGATCATGCCAATGAGTTCTAGCCTGGACAACAGAGAGAAACTTCGACTCAACAAAATAAAAATAAGGCCAGGCACAGTGGCTCACGCCTATAATCTCGGCACTTTGGGAGGCCAAGGTGAAAGGCATGCATTAGCCCAAAAGGTCGACCCCAGCCTGGGCAACACAGGGAGACTTTGTTGCTTTGGTAAACTCTGGTCTGGTCATTTGGCTCTTTGAGCTATGGTCACCATGTATCCTAGCTTTGGCACCCTCCTCTACCTTGGGGAGGTGAATCTCTTCTCTATTCTCTCTCTTTCTAATTTCCTTTCTAAATAAACTATATTTTCCAATCTAAAAAATCAAAAAATTAGCCAAGTGTGGTGGCATGTGACTGTAGTCCCAGCTATTCAGAAGGCTGAGGCAGAAAGATCACCTGAGTCCAGGAGGTCAAGGCTGCGGTGAGCCATGATCGTGCCACTGCACTCCAGCCTGGGCAGCAGGGTGAGACTCTGACTCAAAATAAAAATAAAATAAAAACAGAGACTAAAAGACCAAAAGACTCCACACTCCACCTCACTTGCCTGTCCACCCCCCACCCTGCCCCATCACAAATTTTCAACCATCTCTTAGGAGAAAAACTTTTTTCTGAAACTACAGTTACTGGATACATACACTCCCCCCCCCCAATCATATATCTTTAGCATTCTACCAGGAAATATAAATGTTTAAATGGATTTTTTTCCTTAAATGATTAAATGACCAAAACAATTATGCTACTAAGTACTTTAGGACTAGAAACTACATCAACCAGAGAAATCCTCAGCACATTTTACTAATGATGAAAGGGCTTTGGGAAATGGTCCACAGTCCTTTCCCATAGACTTGCAAACACTTCTAGGAGGGCGGTCCAGTTACCAACACTGAGTGTTGCTGAGGAACCATAAGTCTGTACCTACAGTGCTGTAGTAGCGCAATATAGGCTGAATGGGCCCTGCTGGCAGTAAGAAAACACCATCCCAGTTCACACTATTTTCCATCTGGAAACTAAAAAAAAAAAAAAACTTTAAGTAGAAAAAGTAGGATTGTGTCGTGGCCTGAAAGAAAAAATGGGAATACTAAACAAGATACTGCTTAATCGTTATAAATTCTTATTAGAGGATTTTTCCCACTAAGTATCAGGCCCTGGTTTACAGATTTCCCCATTTCTGAAAAAAATGCTTCAACATCTTGATTTCACAATGTACCCTTAGCAAGAAAAGAAATCCATTCTAAAGCAAATCCTACAGCTCCATTAAAGTGAGACAGGGTTGTCCTGCTTAATCCCGGACACAGGGTAAAGGATCTCCCTTGTCCTCAATGTCCTCTTCCCGTCCCCAAACCCCTCAAGGATTACAGGCACACACCATCACGCTCGGCTGATTATTTTATTTTTGCAGAGACGAGGTCTCGCTATGTGGCCCAAGACTGGTCTCGAACTTCTGGGCTTAAGCAATCCTTCTGCCTCCAGTATTCTCTTTATCAAGGACCAGATCCCAGACCTCAGAGATGGGAGTTCCCTAGGACAGCTCTTTCCCTTTTACTTTCCCTCTCGGAAATGCTCGATGGACTCAATCCAGTCACCGGCTCGCTGCCCCTGCCCACCTCGGTCTTGACCACCTACCTCGCCCGTTCTGGAACACGCCTCCTCTCCCTTGGCCCTTCTAGACCCGAGTACCCCCACCTCAAGAGCCTTTCTGGACCCCACATCCCCTAACTCCGGCCACCTCCTCAGCCGGTCTCCTCCACCCTCTCTTCTAGATCCTCCTAACTCTCCACTCCAAGACGTTCCGAAAACCTCACCAGCGCCATCCCTCGTGGCAGCCCGTTCTTCAAGGCTCTCTGGGCACACCACCACCACTCCTCCCTGCCCGCCCATCTACACACCCTGCTCCCTGGGTCCCTGCATCCCTCAACCCCACATCTCAGGCCGCTCGGAGAACCTGCCACCTTGGACGCTTTTAGACACCAGACCCTGCGTCCTCGGGCCCGTAGAGACCCTGCCACACCAAGACCTCGCCGTCCGCTCAGAACACTCGGAAGCGCCCCTTCCCCAGCCTGGCGCCCGGGCCCTCCCACCCTCCCGCGACTGCCCTGCCGCCGCTCCCCGTTTACCACTGCACATGGCGGCTGACAAGAGCAGGAGCACCAGGACCAGCGGCCGCGCCAGCCCCTCCAGGGCCTGGATGCCCGACCCGGGCAGCAGCCTCGCTTGCGCGGGCCCCCTCATACTTCCCAGGGCTGCGGCGGCCATAACGGACTCGGCCGGGAGCCTGCGCTGTTGCTAGGCTCTACGCCATGGCGTCAGGCGTACGTAAGGCGTGGCGGTCTTAGGACTACGTCCCAGCGTGATGACGTCGTAGCCCGGAAAGGGGTCTGGGAATGGAAAAATGGGGGAAGCACGGTGGGAGCCGCTGCGAGGGAAGTGTGGGGAGCGCCGCACTGCCGGATGCCGGTTGAGGGGAGCTGCGCGAGGTGTTGAAGGCGGCCAGAGCGAGTCCCTGCCCGTCGCCACCTCGTGGGGGACGAGACAGCCGCAAAAATCGGCTTTAAACATTTTTAAAAGGAAGATGCAATTGTGTAACGTAGGCTGATCACGAAAGCCAAGTAACTGCTCTTGCCCTCCTGAAGGCGAGAGAAACACAAGTAGTAACCGTGGTCATATCTGGGTGATGGAACTGTGGGTGATTTGTTTTCTCTTTCCCACATTTATTTTTTCAACAATATGTACCACCTCTCCGTATTTAAGGAGATGCAGCAGTGAACCAAAGGAACTCCTCCCTGCCTTTGTAGAATTCGTTTTCTTGTGAGGGAGACTATGGTGTAAAGTATCCAGCATATAGGATGGTAAAGATATCATGGAGGGAAAGCAGGGAAGGTGACTAGGAAGTAGCGGTGAAGAGTTGCCATTGTAAATAGCTTCCCGGTTTCTTAAAATAAGCGTCTATTACATTTTAAATTTTGTAATTTAAAACCTCCAGTATGTGAAAATGCAAATGTATATAAATTTCCAGGACGTTTATTTAGGGCCCTGGCAATGCTTTGGCCTGTAAGTTCTGTAATCTTTCCTCAATAAACAGCTATCGGTTTCGAGTCATAAAAGTTCCATTTGATCAATTTTTAGGAAAATCAGTGTGGCATAAAGCAAGACATTTATTGCACCCACACCTTCACCACTCTGGTCTACGATTCCCTCAGAAAATTGCTGCTTTCTCCCGGAGACACAGCTGAGCTGCCTCTCCAAAAAGAAAAAGGGCCCTGTGTTCTATTCCTGAATGTGGTTTCCTTACATTTATCTGAGCCTGGTGACAGCTCAGAAACACACAAACTCGTGTTATGAAAACTAAGAAGTCACTCATCTGCTCACTTCCTGAAATCCACCACAAGCCCACATAGACTGAATGGTGTCTTTATTGCCAACCTTCCAGGTTAGCCAAGGTGCAAAGTCCTACTGGTCCCCCAGGAGCTTTAGCTACTCACAGAAAACACCACTCTGTTTAATGAATAAGCCTCTCCATCTAGCTGCTGCTTGTTTGGAGATTGCTTCAGACTTAAAACAATTCATCTGTAATAAAACACACTGCAATCCTCTGATTTTCTATGTTGTCCATTTGACCTTATAACAGATGTTTAAATGATCATAACTGGGGAGATTGTATAAAGTCAAGGCATTTTGCACAATGATATTCCAACATGCTGCATACAACAGGCAGACAATGGTGAAGAAAATATTCCCTCATACTCAGAGGGCCTTTTATACATTTTTAAATATTTAAAATATTTTAATAATGTACCTGGCATCTGATTAGATGTACCTAGCAACCACTATGTGCCATTATCTCTGGATAGGTCCTGAACATTCACTTAGAAATAGCTGCAAGTCCTTAGAAACCTTATGAAGACAGTATAGCAAATACTGAGGCCCATAGTTTTTGGGTGATTGGTTACACAAAATGCTAAAAATATATCTGATACCTGTTTTGAATGCCACTTTCAAACACAGAATAAAAAGGAAGTCTGCCTAAAAACATCATGAAAATCATCAAAAAGTGTTATTTGTTGAAACTATGGCATGCAGAACTCATCACTATTATGTCTGAAATTTTCACAATCAAGTTATTAAAAATATATCAAATTTCAGAATTTCAAAATTACCTTCCCCCATGACCCACAGGAAGAGACCTGTGAATGTGAAGGGATATTGCTCCTATGATCACTTTACCTGGCACAGCTAACTTTAAGAACGGGAGATGGTCCTTGGGAGGCCCAACCTAGATAAGTCTTTAAAAGGGTCTCTTCCTGGAGGAAACTCAAAGTGCAAGAGGGTTTTTCTGTTCCTGGCTTTGGAGATGGAGGAGACCACATGACAAGGAATGCTGGTAGCCTCTAGGCACTGAGAGTGGCTCCCAGCTGACAGCCAGCAAGGAAAGTGGGACTTCTACCCCTGAAAAGAACTGAACTTTGCCACAACCATGAAAGACTAGAAGAGGACCCCATGCCTCTCAATGAAATGAACATGGCCTGGTTGCCACTCTAGTTTCAGCACTGTGAGAACTTCAGCAGAGCCCAGGCATGCATGGCTATCCAGACTTCTGACCTACAGAACTCTTAAATAAGTGAGTGTTGTTTTAAGCTGCTAAATTTATGGTAATTTGTTATGAAGCAAGTGAACACTAATAATATATAACACACACACATGCAGAGCAAAGGGGCAAAGAACAAATCTCAACAAATGCCCTGTTTATTTATATTTTTATTAATAAAGACAACAGAAGGAGAATGAGGTTTCAATATTTATTCAAGTTTTATTTTTAAGTGATGTTAATTACAGCATTTGAAGGGGAGTATCTAATTCCACACAAATTGGAAGACTCTAAAATGTACCCATTAAACTGCTAAAAAATAAATTGAGTGGTGAAAATACAACAGAAGTCCAATTGAGATTCTGAGTGTTGTCACCATGTGATTAACAATCACAGAGACTCTTCCAAACTTATAGCTGGAGTTCCTGGAAGCTATTTCATACTCTGGTGCAAGGGCAAAAAAACACAACACTAGAAGGAATTAAGTCCTGAATTATTGGCTTCATCACATCCATCCTCTCCACCCCAAAATGGCACAAAAGAAACAGCTACCACACCCTGCAGACCTTTTAGTGTAAAAGTGACGATGGACTGGGGTGGGAACAGGTCGTGACGATCTGTCGAAAAAAGTTCCTTTCAGGTGAGATTGTACACACTATCAAGCAATGACCCTCTCATTGATTACGGTTAGGAAACCAAGCTTCAATTCTCAGGAAGTCACAATTTCATTCATGTACTCAGTATGAATTTACAAAGTGCCTACACATCATCAGCTTCCATTTGCAGCCATTTCTAGATTAAAAGGAAACCTGACATCTCTAGAGGAACCACCAAGTTCCCCCCAAGTATACAGATGAAAGGACCTTTTTTGGAATCGGGTTTCTTCTGTACCTCTGAAAGGGTAACACCTTAAAGCTGAATCATCTTTAACCTGGAGGTCTAACATGATATTTAGCAATACTTGCATCCCAGACATACAACATTAAAAGATACACTAAATTCTGAAGGTAGCTATGCTGCAAAATAGTTTAAAATTAAACAATTGTACAGTATTCATTTATGCTTGAAATTCCAGTCCTAGACCAAGCTTGTGGCCACCGGCATTGACATTCTTGCCATCCAGGAGAGCTGACAGCGTCAGTTTGATACCTGCAGGAGGATAAGCCAGGGACAGGAAAGGAGAAGGGATGGAGGAAAGAAAAGAGAAGAAAGGTGAACATCCAATTCAGAACCCATTCCAGGTATCATCAGCAGAGGCCAAACTACATGGCCCTCAATTCCTGTTTAGTTCTCTGTTTTTGGATTTTTTTTTTTTTTGAGTCAGAGTCTCATTCTGTTGCCCAGGCTGGAGTGCAGTATAGCATGCTCACAGCCACCACAGCCTTGACCTGCTGGGCTCAGATGACCCTTCCGCCTCAGCCTTCCAAGTAGCTGGAACCACAGACATGCACCACCACGCCCGGCTAATTTTTTTTATTTATTGTAGAGGATGGTCTCGAACCCCTGGACTCAGGCAACCCTCTAGTCTCCATCTCCCAAAGTGCTGGGATTACAGATGTGAGCTACTGCGCCCGGCCAATTCCTGTTTCTTATCACCATCTGATCAACAGGTGTCCTAGAGTGCACTTTTAAAAAACTATAATTATCCCACCAACCAGAGAGCTTGCCAGAATCCACTACCAGCACCCTAATTTCCTTGTTCCTCTTCCCATCTCCCTGCTACAATTAATGTCTCTCAACCACTGGTACCATGCAGCAAGCTTCTTTAACAATCATCCCTTGAAATGAAAGGGATTCTAAATCAGACCTGTAGTCTTAAATTCACATTCATGGCATACACACACATGCACAACATGCAAGCACACCTACACATGCACACAACAAACTGATTTTCCCTGAAGTTGATTGATACCGGAGAGTAGCATGTAATCTTAAATTTTCCAGGGTTCAAAGGTAGTATTACCTCCTGGAGCTGACACACCAGAGACTGGCCTAGCTGACTGTGCAGAGAAAACCCGCAAACTTTCCCTCCATCTTTGTCTTTTTACAATGGGGATGACTTACAGGTTCATCATGAGAACCTGCTATAAATAAGTATCAAGTGTTATATACACACTGAAAAAAAAAAAAAAGATGGAAGAAGATAGCCAAAAATGTAATACATGCCAGCCCTGGCTTTTTTCCTTTCACTAACTAATTCTCATATTGTCCAAATGTTTTATAATGACCCTGCACTCCTTTACAAACATTTAATTATAAAATTTTAGATATACTCATCAACAACATACTTTATAAACAAAGACATAAATCAGCACCATAATATTTTTAAGACAAAGAACTGATGTCACACACAATCAACACATACCTGGCTTTAGGGTCTGAGTGTATCCTAAACCTATCAGGCTGGAGTTGTTCACTTTAGCCTAGTTACGAAAAAGATAAGACAGAGTGAAAATGTTAAGTATTTCATGCTTCCATTTCCAAAATAAATAAGAGCTTTTTCATCAACCAACTCTGGACTCAGAATCAAGATATCTTTTCTCATGACCACCTCATTTATGAGCTTCAATAAATTCCATGAAATATATCAAATTTAGATGCATGTTTTCCTGCTGAGTTGGTATTTTGAGATCTGACATTCCCGGTAGGAATGAAACAGGGCTAAGGAAGACCTCTTGAGACCTTCCAGCTGTTCCTTTTTGCTCATACAATCTAAATAACAAAACCT